GACCTGACTTTGGAAAATCTTGCATTTTATTTTGGTTGGCACCCAACTGTCAGAGCATAGCGTTATTTTTGCCATTCTAAAAGCATATTGTACGCAGAGTTATAACATCATGTATGGATTCAATAAAGAGATGCTATTTTAAGCAATATTTCTGTGTGTGCTTTTATTTTGAAGGAGTGACCATGAATGTTGACTTCCTTGGAGAACCTGAGAAAGAAGGTTATTAAAAATATATATATTCTTAATGCTTTGTGTGTGTGTGGCTCTTTAGCATAAAATAATACATGATTTTTCTGTGGTGCTGTTGTTGGAAAATCTTATATATAACCAGTGTTAGGTGTAACTGTAATTAAAGTAAGGTCACTCACTAAATACTTTATACTTAGTTACTTAAATACTCATAGGCATAACTTTTGTCATTTATTTATTTATTTATTTATTTCATCAAGCATAAAAAGACATCAGACAGTGTCACAACATCAGACACACAAGAAATGAATGAAAGGAGCAGAAAGAAGAAAAAATCTTATGTTCTCTGCCCCCCTTTCCTTTTTCAAGACAAAACATCAACACCGATCGTCACTAAACATTCCATATCAGTTCAGGCACAATTATTGATCAATTGCAAACAGTAAATCTTCATTATTATACACAAGAACTTAGTTTTCTTTTTCATACATACACACCGCATTTGATTTTATATGTTTTTTAAATGTCGTCATTGTACTTGATTCTTTTATTTCTTTGTCAAGACTTTTCCATAAGTTTAACTCCTTTTCACAGCGACACTTTGTTCCGTAAATTCCTTTTAAATTGTAGTGTTTTGTTCTCATCTCAAACAGACTTTGAATATTTACAGGTAATAAATTACACTTTGCTTTATACATGACTTTGACAAGACTTAAATCAACAATATCCTGCATTTTCAACACTTTATGTTGAGCAAATATTGGGTTGTTTGTCTCTCTACAATGACTGTTGGTGATGATTCTCAAGGCCCTTTTTTGTAAAATAAATAAAGGTTGTAGGTAAGTTTTACATGTTGAACCCCAAATTTCCACACAGTGCATCAGATATGGTACAATTATAGAGTTAAACAAAGTTAATAATGCTGTACTATTTAGTGAGAACTTTACTTTCACAGGTATCACCCCAAAGGTAGAGAAGCAGCTTGTAGCAGAATCTATTGTTGATAAGTCTAAAGCAACGTAGACCATGTAACCTACTTATTTGTTGTTTAGCTGTATTTAAAACACATAAAAGCACACATTTATTAGTATTAACAGTAAGTAATCCCAAAGTAATGTAACTAAGTAACTTCTTTGAGGCAATAATGAAATAGTGTAAATATTACATTTTCCTTTTTTCTTTCTTTCTTTTTTTAAATAAATTCAATGCTTGGACATTTTGGATTCTAGAGCAACTACACTACTGATCAAAAGTTTTAGAACACCTCATTTTTTCCAGGTTTTTACTGTTGACCAAAGCGTATTCTAAACTTTTGATTGATGAAAGTGTCCACCTTTGGCAGATAGAACAGCTGAACACACTCGTGGCTCGTTCTTTTTACAATAGAAATCAAATATTGTTCAGAAAGTTCTTCCCAAGTCTGTTGCACAAGTTTCCATAAATGTGTGGCACTTGTAGGTTGCTTCACTCTTCTGTCCAGTTCATCCCAAACCAACTCCATGGGTTTAAGTCTGGACTCTGTGCTGCTGCTGGACGCTCCATGTTTTCAAGCTTTACCATCTTGTTTTTTTTGTTCCTGAGGTAGTTTTGGCAGAACTTGGACTTGTGTTTTGTATCTTTTATCTTTTTTAACCTCCAGTTGTTCGGTTCAATCTTGTACATCATCCGTTCATTCGATTTTTCCAAGATTAGTTGTGGATTAGTCCTGGTTTAGTCCTGATTCAGTCTTGATTCAGTCCTGGTTTAGTCCTAGTTCAGTCCTGGTTTAGTCCTGGTTTAGTCCTGATTCAGTCTTGATTCAGTCCTGGTTTAGTCCTAGTTCAGTCCTGTTTTAGTCCTGGTTTAGTCCTGATTCAGTCTTGATTCAGTCCTGGTTCAGTCCTCCTGGTTCAGTCCTGGTTCAGTCCTGGTTTAGTCCTGGTTTAGTCCTGGTTCAGTTCCTGTTTCAGTCCTGGTTTGTCCTGGTTCAGTCTGTTTAGTCCTGTTTAGTCCTGGTTCAGTCCTGGTTCAGTCCTGGTTCAGTCCTGGTTTAGTCCTGGTTTAGTCCTGGTTCAGTCCTGTTTTAGTCCTGGTTCAGTCCTCCTGGTTCAGTCCTCGGTTCAGTCCTGGTTTAGTCCTGGTTTAGTCCTGGTTCAGTCCTGTTTTAGTCCTGGTTCAGTCCTCCTGGTTCAGTCCTGGTTTAGTCCTGGTTTAGTCCTGGTTCAGTCCTCCTGGTTCAGTCCTGGTTTAGTCCTGGTTTAGTCCTGGTTCAGTCCTGCTTTAGTCCTGGTTCAGTCCTCCTGGTTCAGTCCTGGTTTAGTCCTGGTTTAGTCCTGGTTTAGTCCTGGTTCAGTCCTGTTTTAGTCCTGGTTCAGTCCTCCTGGTTCAGTCCTGCTTTAGTCCTGGTTCAGTCCTGGTTCAGTCCTGGTTCAGTCCTCGGTTCAGTCCTGGTTTAGTCCTGGTTTAGTCCTGGTTTAGTCCTGGTTTAGTCCTGGTTCAGTCCATATGCTGAGCAAAAGCCACAGAAACAGGTTTTTCTTTTTGGTTTTGGAGACAAATAATGAAGAAAATAGTTGTTTCTTTTTCTTATTTTTGGTTTTATTTTGAAAAACAATTGAACGAATGACACACGGATCAGTGAGCCCAGTGTCGGGAAACTACACCAGAAGTTGTCATTGCACGTTTCCAAACATCTTCCTAGTTTGTGACGTAAACGTGAATAGAGCCTATTGATGAAACATATTTACAAACTGATAAAATATGACATAAAACTAGCAACTTTATGATCATGTAACTTTGATTGGGTTTATTGCAACTGAGAAAAACGTCCTCCACAAACCTGGCTCTGTTTTCTCCCGCTTGTTTCCATGGAGAGAGGTTCTTCTTCACGCTGCAGAAGTTCGTTCGGTCCTGGGGTCAGAAAGCTTCTAACACCAGCACCTACACTATCTGAGTTACCTGTGCAGGCGTCGATGTGCTGACGACGGCTGATTTTCAAAGACGGTGTGATGAGTTCTGCAGCGTGATTAGAAACAAGACACAGGCCTGAACCCTCCACATCTGTCTGTTATAAATACGCCCGATGAAAAGGTTTGAAAGGGTCATAAAAGAGACAAGACGGAGCTGATTACGTGTTGAAAATAGCAAGACATACTGCAGCTTCGTAAGGGATGATCGACACGCCGACAATGGCAGTAATTATGAATAATGTACAACAGCGTTCGCTAATCAGGGGGTAATTCAAATGATTTCTGATTGAAAATAACGAAACTGAATAGTACTAGAATATACAATTTTATTTGCAGTAGAGGTTAGATCTTTAATCGTGTTTTTGTTGGATCATTTTGGACGTCAGTATCACCAAATGTAGTGGTTTTAGAGAACAGATTTAGTTTATTTTGACTCCACGTGTCCATTTCCTGTCTTTCCCCTGCTAAAAAGCCTGGAGACGCCCTGTTGATGCTGCAAAATTTGAACTTATTTTGAGCAGTGCATCGCGTAATGACGGCCGCTGGATGCGCCAATGACACTTCTGGTGTAAATCGTCCGACTGGTTAAAATAGAAAGCGACACCTGCGTGTGTGTGCTGCTCGTGTGCTGTGCTGCTGCTCTTACTGCTTTGGTGTAAATTAGAGGTGAAGCTAACAACAACTAGCATACTAAGCATACACTTCCTGATTGTCGGACAATAAAGTGCTTTATAATCAGATGCAGACAGTACACAGAGGATTATTTTGACCTTAAGAGCTGTTCATACAATATTTCTGTTCTGGGGCAAGACACGATGGATTGTTTTATCCAGAATATTTTGAATCAGAGAAGCGTGATATAAAATTTGACAATTTGGAGTTTATTTATCATTTAATAAAATACAGGATAAACATGTTTCATTTATCAGTAACAACCATAGAATGTATAAAGAAGTGAACTAAAGGGTGAAGTATAGTTTTGCGTCGACTCCTTTTTGATTTATGGATCTGCGTCGAGGTCTGTGCATTGAGAAGTAATTCACTGCCAAAACACTAGGGGGCGATGATATATGTTCGTATATATATACATGTATATATATATATATATATATATATATATATATATATATACATACGGTCTGTGTGTATGACCCGCAGACATATAATCTCTGAAAACTTCCATCTCCGACACGATAAAAGCACAGAACAGACTCATCATTAGTACAATGTCCCTCTGTCACAGAGAGAACACTCATATTCCACTGAGTCGTGTCCTTTTAAAGTCCGACAGAAGCTGAACATGCCAGGACACAAGGAGTGATCTGTTTTTACAGCGCTTAGTTTATGCAAGTTAGCCATGTGGTTTTAAGTTTTGTTTCTGTAAAACGTAAACACATATGCGCAAAGCTGCATTAAACACATTATTTCTCAATGTATATTGAAAGAAACGAAAGTCGAGTACAGGAAATGTGTGTCGAGCAGAGGACCAATCACAGCCCTTATTTTCTGCGTTGCTTCCCCTGCCGTCTGTGTTGCTTTGACGCGTAGTTAGAAAATTTCGGAGTTTCACATGTGTTGCAGTGTTGGGGAGTAACAGATTACATGTACCAGAGTTAAGTAATCAGAGTACAAATTATGAGTAACTGTATTCAGTTATAGTTACTGTTTCAGTGAGTGGTAATTGGATTACAGTTACTTTGTTGAAATAAATGGATTACACAGAGGGACTATACAGGACTAAACCAGGACTAAACCAAGACTAAACCAGGTATTAAACCAGGATTAAACCAGGACTAAAACCAGGTCTAAACTAGATCTAAACTAGATCTAAACCAGGTCTAAACCAGGACTAAACCAGGATTTAACAGGACTAAATCCTGCTGTGTGGACGTGTCTCCTCTTCTTCTATCAATAATATTTTTTATTTGGTTCAGTAAAGTCTGGGCTTTTCATTTTCTTTTAGCAGGTAAAACTTCTTATGTGAAGATTTCCTCGTCTTTGCTTCTCTACAGCAAATCAAGTAATCCAAAGTATTCAGATTACATTACTCACTTTAAGTAATTTAATGGATTACATTACAAACTACATTTTGGTGTGTGTAATCTGTAATCTGTAGGGGATTACATTTTAAAAGTCACCTTCCCAACAGTGCGTAGGGTTTACGCTCCTCCTGAAAATGTCTTGTTTTTGTGTTTTTTATGTGTTTTTTCATTAGCTTCAGACGATCTTGAAACTTTTTTTTGGCAGCTTTTGCTATTGCGCACATTGTGTCACCACGGTAACTGCTGAACACTCCGCCATAGACAAACAAACAGAACACCCCCAGCGTGATGTCAATGCAAAGTATCAACACTGGGTTAGGATTATGACAAATGATTTAACCATAAAATTAAGGAATATTACAAATGTATCTGTCTCTAACCGTTTCATTTTCACCATCGCACGTTTCACACGACCATAAAAATCTGCTCATTTTTCACATTGACCTGAATAAGTTACAGACGTCATTTCCAGCGCTTCTTTCTGGCTCCGCTCACTCATTATAAATTAATACATTCGATTAAGAGCTAATTAAACTCATGGTTCACAAAATGGCTGCCAGTCCTCAGGAGGTCCCGGTGGAGAGGAGTCTGTTCCACATTTTCTCGACGTCGATGTGAATTTTGTCGACGTTTGGAGGGTTTTTGAAGAGGAGGTAAGACCCGCCCAGGACCGCACCAGTGCCACAGAAAAACAGGCCACGGTTTATCACCTGCAGGGAAAACAAAAAACTACATGATGCTTCAAATTTCAAGGGGATATACAAAATGTTTTCATGTAATAAAGTTGTTAGTCTTGTGTATTTTGTGGAAGCAGCTTGTAAGATCAAAATGAGGCTGTTGTGTGAAGTCTGCATCGAATTATTACCGTATTTTCTGGACTATAAGTCGCACCAGCCAAAAAATGTGCAATGAAGAAGAAAAATAAGATATATTAGGCTACGTTCAGACTGCAGGGCTTAACGCTCAATTTTTTTGTGAAATCCGAATGTTTTTGTGAGGTCGTTCACATTTCCAATTAAATGCGACTTGTATGTGACTCCAGTGTGAACGTTAAACGGCCCAAAAGTGTCCCGCATGTGCACTGGAGACACGATGACATCAGCCTCAGCGAGCGTCTCTGTGTTTACAGAAGTTGTCCAAACATGGACGCAGCATTGAGCACCTGGAGATTTTAAAGTTCCTCTCGTACCGGAGCCAGAACATGAACAACTTACTTGTTTTAAGGAGGAGATTGAGAAGGAGAAGGACGAGGTTTTTGGTCGTGGTGTTTTGTGGGGCAGCGACAGCGACGTCCGTTGAAAGGAACGTGTGGATGTGGAGACGGAGCCAAGAGTGGTGAGTGGTGATGTGCTTCGCTTCAGTCACACGGAGTTCATTAACAATTTTCGCCTACTTCAGCGCAGAATAGTGACGTTTGTGTCTTGTTGATAACGTGTAGGTCGAATTAATGCGCTTTGGCCGTTCACACTGAAGTTACACGTCAAAAGATCAGATATGTATCAGTTTCAGGAGCACATATCCAAGTGTCCTGGGTCACATTTGAAAAAATCTGATCTGTGTCGTTCAGACTGACATTAAAAGATCAGATACAGGAACATAAGGGCCAAAAAATCGGATTTGGGTCACTTCAAGTCGCACTTTTTGGGGGAAATTTATTTGATAAAATCAGAAACCAGGAACTGACATTTCCTGTTGAAAGTCAAGTTCTAGTAATAACAATAGAAGAGAGAAGAACAACAGACTGTTAATGTCACATATGAACAGTTCTTCAGATAAACTATAACATAAACAACAGAACAGAACAAGTTTAACAAACTCTCCATCTCACTCCAAATCACTAAATCCATTCAATTCTTCATCCTCAGTGTCACTTCTGAGCAACTCCGTGACCTTCAGAGGTAAACGTTGCGCCGCTTCCTCTTCTGTGTCGCTGTCGTCAGACTCAGCATCAGTTCCAGTTAGAATTATTGGGTCTTTCTGAATCCCGACAGGATGGTTTCGGTGTCACTGAAGTCCAGACTTTGTCCATCCATCCAGTGACTTCAGGAAAGCTGCATGGTGCATCCTCCCAGTGTGTGAAGAATCCCTCAGTCGTCCAGGTAAAATCCATGTCAAGGAGATAATTCAGTTTGTCGACTGGACAAAAGTGAGTTTGGTTGAAGACGTTTCGCAGCTCATCCAAGCTGCTTCTCCAGTTCTGGTCAGACGGTGGTGGACACTTCCTTATATCTGCAGGGAGGAGCTAAATAACTACACTGAAACTAACACACACACTAGTTTACAGTTTCTGTTATTTAGTTTGGCCTGTTGACCTGTACAGGGTGTGGGCTCTAATTAGCATAACAATTCATGAGCGAGAAACTTGTGACCCTCCCAGTGTCACAAGTTTCTCTCTCACTCCAAACTTTCTTTCTGCTGCTCGATTACAATTTTCAGCTGCAGATTTCACGATTTACAGTTTGTAATCTGCAGAATATAATGTTGTTTTCGGGGGCATTTGTGTTCAGTCTTCTCAGTCGTCTTTATAAGTTTGTATAAATGTTAAATTGTTCAGTGGTTCAGAAGTAATGGTGCGATCGACTGACATGATACAGACAGGACAGAGGCTCTTTCTGCAGGAGACATGTGCAGTAGAACCAAGTGACAGTGGTACAGGAGGAACAGGAGCAGCAGATACTCACACACAAGACTAGAGCCTCTCTGCGCTGTCAGTGTGAACAATTTAATATATAAGTCGCACCTGAGTATAAGTCACAGGAAACACCCAAACCATGAAAAATACGGTACATATAAAGTAAATTATAGAACTGTAAACTGCATAACTTATTAATATTTATTTATTAAATTTCTCTTTGGATTGGTTTTGGTTTCGTCTCTTCATATGGGGATGGTTTCACTAATAATAAATTAATTCCACTTTTATTTTTGCTTCAGTTTGAGTTAATTTTGTCAAAATGTTTTAAATGTGGTGCAATAATATCTCCATTCTGAACATCGTTATTAAACATCGACTTTGAGATTATGTGTAGATAAAGATTCTCACTTTGTTTTGCCATTGCCAGCGCTCCACAGCCTGATGGTACCGTGTCCTTGTGAACGTCACCTGTAGGTAGACGGAATACTGGTTTAGTCTTGGGTTAGACCTGGTTCAGTCCTAGGTTCGACCTGGTTTATTCCTGGGTTAAACCCGGTTTAGTCCCTGGTTTAGTCCCGAGTTTGATCTGGATTAGTCCTGGGTTAAACCTGGTCTAGTTCTGATAAAATCCTGATTTAGACCTGGTTTAGTCCCGGGTTTGACCTGGTTTATTTCTGGTTAAATCCTGAGTTAGACCTGGTTCAGTCCTGGTTTAGTCCTGGTTTAGTCCTAGTTTAGTCCGTACCATGGTGTAGAGTGGGACTATGGTTCGAGGCATGAGGAAATGCAGGAAATTATCCACATATTTTCTGAAAAGGAACCACTTTGAGTTGACGTGAGCTCTCATCTGAAAGGGAAAAAAACACAAAAAATACATATTATCACTGTAATATTGGACTACTACTACTACTACTACTACTACTACTACTACTACTACTACTACTGCTACTACTACTACTACTGTTAACTACATTTAATGGTTGACAATAATTTAGTGAGAATTTGACATTGCAAAGTGCAGTTTTCCTACAGATCCCTGCACTTGATGACATCCCAATCCAACTCCTGTTTAATCCACAGTTTGAGCAAGTGCCATTTCCCATCAGTCTTTGCTGCATGTGTCATAGGGATTAATTAAGATTGGAGCTCGTTAGCATTGGCATCTGTGATGATTACTGACATCGTGTTGATGTGATTCTAATAGGCAACCTGTCACTGTGCTCCTGTATGAGGCTTTCTGAGGGGAGGGGGTTATAATTACACCGTGTGAAACTGGGTCAATTATCTGTGATGGACAGAAGCTCTACACACAAGGCCACAGGTCTCCAACCTGCAGATCTCCACACCTTTCAAATTAACTTTTTTCATGTTTCATGGTAATAAGTCAGACAATAATTATTTTATCTGGTTGAATATTAACATAGTCTTAGTAGTTTAGTTTATTTGGTAATTTTGCCCCCTCCCTGAACCGCCACTTTGGAGGGGTTTCAGTGCAAGAAAGATCCTGGGAGCTATGTTGTCAGGGGCTTCATGCCCCTGGTAAGGTCACCCAAGGCAAACAGTTGATGAAGGTCTGGTATGATGAAAGACACGCATAGGCCAGCGACGTCACCTGGATTGGCGTTACCAGGCCCCACCCTGGAGCCAGGCCTGGGGTGGGTGCTCGCCTGGTGGCCAGGCCTTCCCCCAGGGGGCTCAGCCGGGCTCTGCCTGAAGGAGTGACGTGGACCCACCTGTGGGAGGATCCATATGGGGCCAGTGCAGGGAGATCTGGGTGGCAGTTGAAGGCAGATCTCTGGACGTGGAGACTGACACTGGGGACATGGAACGTCACCTCGCTGGGGGGGAAGAGCTGGAGCTTGTGCAGGAGGTTGAGTGTTACCGATTAGATATAGTCGGCTTCACCTCCACGCACAGTTTGGGCTCTGGAACCCAACTCCTTGAGAGGGGCTGGGGTCTCTAGTTCTGTGGCGTTGGCCGTGGGGAGCGGCGGCGGGCTGGTGTGGGCTCATTGCCCCACAGCTCAGCCGCCGTGTGTTGGAGTTCACCCCAGTGAACGAGAGGGTCGCATCTCTGCACCTTCGGGTCGGGGACAGGTCTCTCACTGTGGGCCTAAGGGCTGAACAGCAGTGCTGAGTACCCGGCCTTCTCGGAGTCCCTGGGAGGGGTACTAGACCGTGCACCGACCGGGGACTCTGTTGTTCTCCTGTTCCTATAGCTTCAAATTCACTCTTGTAACGATTATCATCAGGATCTTCATTTGACTGGAGATGAACGCTGTGGGTGGCGTCACACTTAGTCCACTTCTTTACACAGTCTATGGGCCCAGCCTTGCTTAGCTTCTGAGATCAGACATTAAGAAGCTGGTCAGTCTCCTCCATGTTTTTAAAGTCCATTCACATTCAAATTATGCAGATACACAATGTCATAATTAGCAGCTGTGTAGGTGTCGAGCTTATAAAGATAATTTTATAATCTTGAATATTGCAGTACACAGGCTGTTGAGTTCAAGGACCCAACCCACAACTGATGTAACAGAACAACATCTTTATCCAGTGAGCGACGATATCATTTTCTTCTACTTTAGTTACAAAACTGTTTGACCTAAACCATGACGCAGACTTACATTTCTAGACGAGTATAATAGAAACATCCTTGGTACCTCTATATAGTTGTACATGGCCAGGTCTGCGATGGCGTGATCATCTGGGACTCTGACTCTGGTGTACTCTGGAAGAACCTCACCTTTAAAACAGAAATACAACTGTTTTATAAAGTTATATTTTAATCTTTAAACTGCAGCCCTTTTGACATTTGACAAACGTACTCAGATCGTCGTTAAACTGGTCCATAATTTCATCGAACACAATGCAGTCCTCGAAGCCCTGTGGACGACAAATGTTATCAGTGAAGCTTGACCCAATGACATTTCACAACACAACACAATGATTTAATAATGATTCAAGTTTAATAACTACTTAAAAAGTGTTGTACTGATTTTTACACGACAAACAGAACTAGTTTATCTGAAACAGTTTGCAGTGGTGTAAACTTACTCCTCATTTACCTTCTTCATTCTGAACATCCTGATTATTCACTAGATCAGAGCTGTGAGTGTAAAACATAACAAAAACTAGCATGCTGATAGTGCACTTCTTGATTATTGAACAGTAAAATGCTTTTTAAGTAGACAGAACAGAGTGAACTGCTTTTACAATATTTCTGTCAGACTAGAGACCAGACCAGAGACCAGAGACCAGAGACCAGACCAGAGACCAGACCAGAGACCAGACCAGACCAGAGACCAGAGACCAGAGACCAGAGATTAGACCAGAGACCAGAGATTAGACCAGAGACCAGAGAGACCAGAGACCAGAGACCAGAGACCAGAGACCAGAGACCAGACCAGAGACCAGACCAGACCAGAGACCAGAGACCAGAGACCAGACCAGACCAGAGACCAGAGACCAGAGACCAGAGACCAGACCAGAGACCAGAGACTAGAGACCAGACCAGACCAGACCAGAGACCAGAGACCAGAGACCAGAGACCAGAGAGACCAGACCAGACCAGAGACCAGAGACCAGAGACCAGAGACCAGACCAGACCAGACACCAGACCAGAGACCAGAGACCAGAAACCAGAGATTAGACCAGAGACCAGAGACCAGAGACCAGACCAGAGACCAGAGACCAGAACCAGAAACCAGAAACCAGAGATCAGAGACCAGAGACCAGAGACTAGAGACCAGACCACAGACCAGACACCAGACCAGAGACCAGACCAGAAACCAGAGAACAGAGACCAGAGACTAGAGACCATAGACCACAGACCAGACCAGAGCCCACAGACCACAGACCAGACCAGACCAGAGACCACAGACCAAACCACAGACCAGAAACCAGAAACCAGAGACCAAAGACAAGAGACCAGAGACTAGAGACCAGAACAGAGACCAGACCAGAGACTAAGACTGAGCGGTAAATCAAGAGCTTTTGATTTCCTTTCGACATTATCACACAGATCAGAAAAAAAAGCACAATAAAGTCCCTTGAATACATTTTGGATTTGAGTTTGGTCCTTTTTTGTCCTCGTACTCACTGCGTTCATGCCCTGTCCGTAGAACGGGACCACGGCGTGCGCAGCGTCTCCCATCAGGACACATTTATCTGCGATGTGATACGGCGAGCACTTCACCGACACCATGGCCTGAGCCGGGAGACGGAAGTAATCACACTTCAGAGCTTCACTGCAAAAACACAACACAAATATCATTCATGTGTAAACTCTAACGTGTATAGAGCTTTTTTTTTTTTAATTTTTTTCCCTGTTCAAAACTTCAGAACTGACAGAATCTTCCTCTTCAAAGTGGAATTTCATCGTAACGAGCAGCAGATTTTGATTGTTTTTATTGCTGAAGTGGCTACGTGACATTTCTGAAGCGGAGTCTGATTTCTCAAACATGCACGAATCAGTCAAATTACAACTTTGGATAATGACAAGGCTCCTAAACGTCTATTTTACATCATATGGGCCCGTAAAGCAAAAAATCAGAAGCTAGATTATATACGTTTCTAAGTGAAGGTCATTTTAACACGGAAATGAGACTGGAGTCAATTTTATTTATTAGTAATCCTTTTTATACAGGCTAGACCAGGGGTGGGCAATTATTTTTTCTATGGGGCTACATGAGAAACAGAAAATATTGTGGAGGGTCAAAATGTTTAACTCAATTCTGCATCAGATTAATTGTATTTCTTATAAAAAAAGCAGTAAATATCATTGTTTTGACGAACTAGTGAAAGTGGTAAAGAGTTTATGTTATGACTAAGCAATGAAAAAATGAGGCTGCTTTACAAAAATTATCATTAAAAACACCTCTAAAATAAAATCAATGCAGCTTTAGTCCATACATGAGGCTTAAAAGGGTCGTTCAGAGTCGACTAAAGGGCCGTACGTATGTGGCCTGAGAGCTGAACAGTGCCCAGGTCTGTTCTAGACTCTTGGCCTCTTGATCTAAACCTTAGAGACAAACAGGGACCGTAAACATGAACTAGACCAGGACTAAACCAGCACTAAATCAAACTAAACCAGGACTAAACCAGGACAAGTGAACAGACCTAGTATCTCATGGTTTACTCCCTAATGCTGCCTCCAGGTGGAACAACACATTTTTGGTATAGAAAGGAACTAAACATGCAAATTTATTCTTACTTAAAGGTCCTATATTACACAAAATTGACTTTTATGTGAGCTTTAATCCATGTTATAATGTTGTTACTTCAGGTTACTTGTTACTCAACAGGAGTTGAGTTTTGTTTCACAGTTTTGAGTTTGAATAATCCTTTATTAGTAGCAGTGTTGGGTGTAACGTGTTAGAGTAACGTAACTACTTTTTTGGGGTAAAGATAGTGTTACTATCACGCTACTACTGAAAATTTGGTAATGAAATGTAGTTCCTTTTTCAATATGGCAGGGCCTTACTTTTCTGTGTATGTGGGCTGGTCCCTGCCCTGGCAGCGGCACTGAGGACAGTTTGCCCTGTCAACAGTCATGTTAGGAGCAGGGGAGGATGCAGTGGGCACGGTCCTGGGAAGCGGTGAGGTCCGGGCGGGAGGAGCTGTAAAGCACGCAGCCGGAGTGTTGTGCCACTTTCACCTCGAGCCTTTCCTGGCCGACCCAAGCCAGAGACACCCAGGGAGAGGTCCCTCGCGAGGCCCCTCCTGCACCGAGCGGCCGTCCCTCACCCACCCAGTTGAATCTCCCAGGCCGACTGCGCGGACCCAGTTTCATGTCCTCTTGAACTCTCTCTTCAAAGTTCTTTTCATCTTTCCCTTACAGTACTCTTCAACTATCGTTCCCGTACCAGTTATTAGAGTTACAGTTTAAAACCAAAAAGTTACCAAAGTAATGAGGAACGTAAAAAGTGACTTTCCATCGGGGGTAACTAAGTCAAGTAAGGGATTACTTTGTAAAGAAGTACGGAGTAACAAGCAAACATTACTTTTTTTAAGTAACTTCCCCAACACTGCTTATTAGTCTGTCTACATCTATAAATCCCAATATGCTCTGTTCCACCTTGTGATGTCATGAAGCGATAGTTTCCAAGTGCCTTTTAACCTTTGATTAGTATAGATTGGTAACACCCGTCCTGAAATCATCAAAATTATTCTATTTGAAGGTGCGTGGAGTTTAAAAACACAGTAGAGTGTTTTCTGTTTCAGCCTTAATATGCAGAGTTTGTGAGTTGAACATGTGTGAATAAAACAAACTTGACTTTTTTGACGAGGAATCAACATTATAACGTGCAGTAAATCAGAAAATAGCAAAATATGAGCCTTAAATATAAAAATAAGATGATGACATGGTTAAAAACAAAGCGTCAGTTTAACATAATAAAGAACAGATTATCTTTGGTGTTTCCAGACGCAGCTCTCACTCCTGTGATCTACTGTGAATCCACTCTGCCGTACTTCATCACACGTGTTATTGGTTTGCACACGGTAACGTCAAACCGCCCCCTCCTCCACGGCGCCCTCTGCAGTCAGCACCTCTCACTCGCTTCACGTCAAATTAAAACCCCTCCGTCCTCAAACATGCCTCGGTCTGTCTGCAATTTCACACTTCACGGGTTCGGTCCCAGATGATTGGAGAGGGAAGTGCCCGTTATATTTGCGCTACGTGAGTTTATTCATGTAATTTTAGTTTTACATTTTTGCCTCGTGGCTTACATTATAAACCAGGCTGCATCTACTTGTAAAACACGATTCTGATTACGATGCGTGTGAACATGAGCAATGTGCCAGAGGGTTTGTGAAAGCTGCAGTATAGATACAAGTTAGACTGATGTAAAGGCAGTGTTGGGAAGGTGACTTTTAAAATGTATTCCCCTACAGATTACAGATTACATACCCCAAAATGTAGTTTGTAACGGAATCCATTAAATTACTTAAGGTGAGTAACATAATCTGAATACTTTGGATTACTTGAGATTGTCGTGCTTTTTAAAACTACATGAACGTACCAACCACATCCTGAAAATTCTTGTTTGTTCAGTTTTTATTTGACCATATTAAAAATATTATTGATAGAGAAATTATTTTTATATGAGATCACAATTATGTCCACCTACTGTTAGTGTCATATTGTATTAGTTTAGTCCTAGTTTAGTCCTGGTTTTAGTCCTAGTTTAGTCCTGGTTTTAGTCCTGGTTTTAGTTCTGGTTTAGTCCTGGTTTTAGTCCTGGTTTAGTCCTGGTTTAGTCCTGGGTTTTCCTGGTTTTTAGTCTGGTTTTAGTCTGGTTTTAGTCCTAGTTTAGTCCTGGTTTAGTATTGTTTTAGTCCTGGTTTTAGTTCTGATTTTAGTCCTGGTTTTAGTCCTAGTTTAGTCCTGGTTTAGTATTGGTTTTAGTTCTGGTTTTAGTTCTGATTTTAGTCCTGGTTTTAGTCCTAATTTAGTCCTGGTTTAGTCCTGGTTTTAGTCCTGATTTTAGTCCTGGTTTTAGTCCTAGTTTAGTCCTGGTTTAGTCCTGGTTTAGTAGTTTTAGTTCTGGTTTTAGTCTGATTTTAGTCCTGGTTTAGTCCTGGTTAGTCCTGGTTTTAGTCCTGTTTTAGTCCTGGTTTAGTTTGGGTTTTAGTCCTGGTTTTAGTCCTGGTTTTAGTTCCTGGTTTTAGTCCTGGTTTTAGTCCTGGTTTAGTCCTGGTTTAGTCCTGGTTTTAGTCCTGGTTTTAGTCCTGGTTTTAGTCCTGGTTTTAGTCCTAGTTTAGTCCTGGTTTAGTCCTGGTTTTAGTCCTGGTTTTAGTCATGGTTTTAGTCATGTTTTAGTTCTGGTTTAGTCCTGGTTTTAGTCATGGTTTTAGTCCTAATTTAGTCCTGGTTTAGTCCTGGTTTTAGTCCTGGTTTTAGTCCTAATTTAGTCCTGGTTTTAGTCCTGGTTTTAGTCCTGGTTTTAGTCCTGGTTTTAGTCCTGGTTTTAGTCATGGTTTTAGTTCTGGTTTTAGTTCTGGTCTTAGTCCTGGTTTTAGTCCTAATTTAGTTCGGGTTTAGTCCTGGTTTAGTCCTGGTTTTAGTCCTGGTTTTAGTCATGGTTTTAGTCATGGTTTTAGTTCTGGTTTTAGTTCTAGTTTTAGTCCTAGTGTAGAAAATACCGCCGTGTAATCCATTTATTTCAACAAAGTAACTGTAATCCAATTACCACTCACTGAAACAGTAACTGTAACTGAATACAGTTACTCATCATTTGTACTCTGATTACTTAACTCCGGTACATGTAATCTGTTACTCCCCAACGCTGTTTAAAGGTGCTGTTTCCATGTATCTGAGCAAAGTGTGTCTTTTATATATTGTTAAATAAGTTTAAAGACTAATTCGTGACTAAACCAGGACTAGAACAGGACCAGACTAAACTTTACTGGATCCAGGACACAACCAGGACAAGTGAACAGACATTTACATTTACATACATTTTTGGTATAGACAGAAATTTAAGGCTAAAATGTGAAGGTTTACTTCAACATGCACAATTATTTTTAATTAAAGGCCCTATATTACACAAAACTGACTTTTACATGTTATTATGTTGTTATCTCTTCAAAAACAAAACAGGAGTCGAGTTTTGTTTCATTCACACATTATGAGCTTGAGTAATCCTTTATTATTTGCAGTGTTGGACGCGTTACTTTGAAAAAATAATGAGTTATAGTTACTAGTTACTTCTCCCAAAAAGTAACTGAGTTAGTAACTGAGTTACTCCACTATAAAAGTAACTAGTTACTGGGGAAAGTAACTATTGCATTACTTTTATTTATTTTTTTAAGGGCGCACTCACTCTAGGTGTTTTGAACCGTGCCGGGCTGAAGCTCGATTGCTGTGGGTTTTATGTTCCACACTCAAACCTGCACAACTGAACCGAGCCACAGCCTGACGACGTCATCACACGATTTTTCAAAAACTTTCAGAGACCAGAGCGTAGCACAAGTTTTACTTCATGGATGCTAAAACACTTTGTATTCACTGAGATAAAATTTTGGATTATAGGCAACTAAAGATGTTCTTGGTCGACTAAAACATGTCCAGGCAGCGCTGACGCGGTTCAGCTTCTGCTGTTGAAGTCTGCAGGTCAAACATATAGACCGTATATATATGAATGGTCATATATTCTTTGATTCCATAAATGCCGATGCAGAACTATACTTCACCCTTTGCTCCGTGAGGCTCCTGACTACAGTAGCTGTAATGCTCCGACAATCCATCAAGCGGTGCGGCTTCGTAGTTTACCAAAGTCAGACTAAAACATTTTGACAGATTTTTGAGCGCCGTGTAACACATACGGTTTGAGATCAGTAAACACAACCAGAATTAACCCTCTCCAGGCAGACGTTGCAGATTTGCATCAGCTAAATTCCAATTACCTACTTACTCCACATCCATATTTTATGAGGTTTTTTTTTTTTTTACTCAGGAGCCTTTTCTCTGATCCATGCTGATAAACGTGGGCAATGCAAACTGTGCAAGAATGACTACACGCAAACGGCCTGGCAGAAGTGCAAAATACTTTTTTCTGTTTACAAAGGATAAAAAAGTCAGGATTGTATATTACTATCCCATATTATAATTTTCAGCAAATATCAGATTTTTCCTGATACTAAAAATTAATTTGAGCCTGAGAGGGTTAATACATAAGGCCACTGTTGATTTTTGATCAAATTAAAGGATTTTAAGTGCGCCTTATAGTCCGAAAAACACAGTAACTGTGTATTATATTTTTATGGTATTTATATGTAAAAAGGCAGATTAAACTCATGATTCACGAGTTTAATCTGCCTTTTACAAATAAATACGATAAAAATACCAAACTTTTCAGCTCACTCACTCACTTCTCTTTTCTGCTGTTTAATACAATCAACCGATGAATCGACAAAACAACTACGGCTACAGCCTGACTTTACTTCCTGAAAAATCGTGTATTGCCCCTTTGAGTACTCACACTCCAATCAATGGAATGGCGTCTGGGAAGTATTTCTGGAAAAACTCCAGGACCTCGTCTCCTGTGGTGATCTCCTCGAAGTTCTCAAACGGCATGAAGAGCGTACAGGTGAATGTTTTATCCTGCAGACGGGAATAAAGAACAACACAACAGACTGAAAATAGCAGCACTTAAAGCTCCTATATCACACAAAATGGACTCTTGTGAGCTTCGAGAATGTTGTTATCTCCTCACAAACAGACCTGGAGTTGTTTTGTTTCATTCACACATGTTTGAGTAACACTGTTATTAGTCTGTTTACATCTCCAGAGCTCAAAATGTTCTGTTCCACCTCAAGTTAACAGCTCCTTTTAAATTTAATTCAGTAGAGATGAAATTATCCAAATGATTTTAGTGAAGGTGTACGGAGTTTAAAAACACTATTATATGATAATTATATTATTATTATATAGAGCACTTCCTTTATTACCACATGACATCACAAGGTGGAACAGAGTGTTGTCTGTGTGAGAGAAGAACGTAAATACGCAACAAAATACAACTCCAGGTCTGTTTGTGATGAGGAAATATTATAACATAGAGCAGAAAATAGACTAATATGGGCCTTTAAGACACAAAGACGGTAATTACCACATTACCACATAGTCACAAAAACACCTGAAATACTGTATTGTAAATTAAGCATGTTCAGTGACGTGCATCAGTACTGCACAAGACAGTCAGGTGAGAGTCGCTTTCTGTTACCGACCTGTTGCGCTATAGAGCAATGGTGGCATGGAACTCACTCCCACAGTTTCTCATCTCAGGAATGGAAGGAACGAAAGAAATGTTTTGGTTTTTTTTATGTTTATTAGCTATATATATATATATATATATATATATATATATATATATGTGTGTGTGTGTATGTATGTATGTATGTCCATCCATCCATTTTCTTCCGCTTATCCAAGGTCGGGTCGCGGGGGCAACAGTCTGAGGAGGGCCTCCCAGGCTTCCCTCTCCACACACACACTTCCTCCAGCTCTTCCAGGGGGAATCCCGAGATGTTCCCAGGCCAGCCCAGAGACATAGTCCCTCCAGCGTGTCCTGGGTCTTCCCCGGGGCCTCCTCCCAGTGGGACATGCCCAGAACACCTCCCGAGGGAGGCGCCAGGAGGCATCCGAAACAGATGCCCGAGCCTCAAACTGGCTCCTCTCAACGTGGAGGAGCAGCGGCTCTACTCCGAAGCTCCTCCCGTGTGACTGAGCTCCTCACCCTGTCTCTAAGGGAGCGCCAGCCACCCTGCGGAAGGAAACTCATTTCGACCGTTTGTATCCGCGATCTCGTCCTTTCGGTCACTACCCAGAGCTCATGACCAGAGGTGAGAGTAGGAACGTAGATTGACCGGTAAATCTCTTTTTTCTCTTCACCACAACGGTCCGATACAGCGACCGCATCACTGCTGACGCTGCACCGATCCGCCTGTCATATGTATGTATGTGTATATATCTATGTGCATCGATTATTATGATTATTTGTATATTTTTGTTATCTTTCATTGTTTGTGTGAATGTGGTACATGTACATCCTGTTACTGACGGCAGGAAGAATAGTTGCTGTTTTTCAGTAGCTAATGGGGATCTAAATAAAAAAACAAACACACAAACAAACCACATCTTTGGGGGCTGCACACAACTTTAGGACAGATTTTGAAAAAGTTGAAGCAGGAAGGACCCTCCTCTCGTCGTAAAATCTAACACAGTTCTCTATATTATTACACGCTGGACACAAATTGCAGTTTTTATTATGTAAAATCTTTTAAGGACAAGCGAAAACTGTTTTGACTTTGACTTAAACTACTTCAGAAAACATATACTGTGCCAATTAGGCTACTTTTATCTCGAGACCTGTTGTGTGATACTGTAAATACACAGATAACACTCCAGCTCCAGTGAATAGGACCAGAATAGCTCGGCACAGTCACTTTTCACTCCATCACTCCACATGTTTGAGCCTCTTCAGCGCCGCAGAGGAGAAGCAGAGGAGTGTGAAGAGGCCTCATCATTATGTGTCTGTTTCTAACTATAGTGACTGGACAGGTGTGAGGACCAATCACGTGGAGGCCAACAGTCTCATTGTTTTGTGCGTTAAAACGAACAAAGGACACAGGACTGACTGCAGATGTGTCAGTCATGAAGTCCCAGTTAGACAGTTTTAAATAATTTGATCACAATTTGATTAAAATTTGATTAAGTGAACCACCCAACTTTCTTAAGAAAAGAAATCACTTTATATCCTTGTTTTTAAAAATTCCACTGCAATTTTCATTTTCATTTTCATTTCAGCCCTGTTGCCGCATTTAATTATTTATTTATTTTTTATTTTTTTTCAACAAACTCTGTGTTTTAATTTTTCAAATCTTCAAACCAACTTCACATATCAATATTATCAATGTCAGTATTTATGTGACACCTCCAAAAAAAAGGGATGATATAATGACAATGACAATTTGTAATGGAAAATTCATTGTTTTTTCCAATAAACAATTAAAGGTGCAGTACGTCACTTTCTGGACGCTGCACATCACCTTCACTTCAGAACATCCTCCATGAAGATGCTGCCGTACTGCACAAGATTATTAGTCTGATTCATCAGCTGGTTTCACTTCGTGGAAACCGTCTGACCTCGCAGCGTTAGGATTCGTTCGTTCGACATTAAGCACATACTTTTTTTTTATTTAACCAATCGCTGCTATTTGGTCGTGACGTGTGTAATGCACCACTAACGGAGCCAACTGGTAAATTAAGCTTTTCCCAAATCCTGTAGGAAGAAGGACAATAACGTCTTTCCTCTTGATAAAATTCACCAAACATTCTCTTTGTTCCGGCTTTAAATCTTCAATCTCGGGAATCGTTGCCAACACAGAATGTACGGCTCTTTGCTGATTGGCTGGTGCCCGAACTCGCACTTCCGGGGTTTTTGAGAACCGTCTAGTGTATTCTGATTCCTGATCTAGTCACTGGAGAGAAATGAAATTGAGCGGAGGCACTAGGTGGCACCAGCCTAGTTAAAAGATTATAGCTAAAGGAACGACATTTCCATCCATCCACCCATTTTCTTCCGCTTATCCGGGGCCGGGTCGCGGGGGCAGCAGTCTAAGCAGGGACTCCCAGTTCCCAGGTCAGCCGAGAGACATAGTCCCTCCAGTGTGTCCTGGGTCATGCCCGGAACACCTCCTGAGGGAGACGCCCAGGAGGCATCCAGAACAGATGCCCGAGGCACCTCAACTGCTCCTCTCGACGTGGAGGAGCAGCGGCTCTACTCCGAGCTCCTCTCGTGTGACTGAGCTCCTCACCCTTGCCACCCTGCGAAGGAAACTCATTTCGAGCGCTTGTATCTCGTCCTTTCGGTCACTACCCAGAGCTCATGACCAGAGGTGAGGGGAGGAATGTAGACTGACCGGTAAATCGAGAGCTTTGCCTTTCGGCTCAGCTCCTCTTCACCACAACGGTCCGATACAGCGACCGCATCACTGCAGACGCTGCACCGATCCACCTGTCAATCTCACGCTCCGTCCTCCCCTCACTCGAGAACAAGACCCCGAGATACTTGAACTCCTCCACTTGAGGCAGGAACTCTCCACCCACACGGAGACGACAAGACACATTTTTCCTTTCTAGAACCATGGCCTTGGACTTGGAAGAGCTGATCCTCATCCCAGCCGCTTCACACTCGGGTCAAACCGCCCCAGTGCTGCAGGTCCTGGTTTGATGAAGCCAACAGGACAACATCATCTGTGAACAGCAGAGATGATCCTGTGGGGACTGAACGTTTTTACCGAAGTTAATAATTTAACTAAATTAAAAAACAAAACAACTGCTTTTATTTTTGTGAATTTTCTGGCTCTTCCATATTGTGGCTTTAATTACTTTTTCTTTATACAACAAACCATTTATTTACTTTTTTTTTTCATATTCCAAACTATATTTTAGACTCTGTTGTTACTTAAATCCAGACAGAATCACATCCTCTTCTCCTCTGACACAGTTTCAGAGCCTCCTCCGTCTGCGTGACGTTCGCTGACCTGGGGAAACCTGGAAAAGTAGGGCACCGGGCGACAGCCAAAAGCACTCAGCGCCTTTGAACGCCTCACATTAAAAACACAAAGACAAACTGCGCAGAGGGAAAAGAAGCGAACGACGCCGACGTGAACTCTGACGCAATTTAACAAAATGATCGAGACGAAACAGTCAAGCAATTTTGGGCAGTGTTCCTGTTTAGTCTGGATTAAGGGAAGAAAGACGAGAGAGAGAGAGAGAGGAAGAGGAAGAGGAGAGGAAAGAGGGAAGGAGAGGAGGGGTTAAAGGAAAGGAGGAGGAAGAGAGAAGACAAGGAGATGTAGATAGATCAACAGATTGGTAAGATAGATAGATAGAAAAAGGGAGAAGTTAGGAGGAGAGGAGATGGGGTGAGAGGATGAGGAGAGAAAGAGGAGAGGAGGAGAGTGAAGAAATAGAGGGAAGGGTGAGGAGAGAGGGGAGGAAAAGGAGGAAGAAGACAAGGAGATATGGAGGATGGATGATGATGGATGGATGGATAGATAGAAGAGAGAGGGAGAAAGAAAGAGCTGGAAGGAGAGGAGAGAGGGAGTGAAAGCGAGGTAAGAGGAGGGGAGAGGAGAGACGGAAAGACAAAAGAAGTAGAGGAGGAGAACAGAGAGGAAGGAAAGGAGACGAGGAGAGAGAAAGAGAGAGGGGAAAAGGGCAGGAAAGTAAGAAGAGGAGGAAGAGAGGGGGTGAGATGGAAGGATAGAGGAAGAAGAGGAGGAGAAGTGGAGGAGGAGGAAAGAGGGTGAGAGAAGATGGAAGAAGAGGGGACGGAGGACTTGAAGAGGAAAAGGAAGAAGGAGAGAAGATAAGGATGAAAGAAGGAAGGATTTGAGGAAGAAGGAGGTGAAAGATAGAGAGCAGAGTAGAGAAGGGAGAGGAGAGATGGAGGGTAAGAGGAGAGAGGGAGAGATGGAAAGACAGACGAAGAAGAAGAAGAAGAAGAAGAGGGGTCGAAATGGGGGAAGAAGAGGAGAGGAGGGTGAGAAAAGATGGAAGGAGAGAAGAGATAGAGGAGGAGGAGAGGACAGGGA